GCATTTCAGTGTACCACGTTGACAGTGGATCTAAGTCATGCTGGAGGCGAGCGCAGTCATCCTGGTTCCCAATGATCCTCCAGATTTTCAAATCATCTGCAAATTGGGCACATGGTGACTAGAGCTGCTGCGGGAAATCGTTGATATGAATAAGAAACAATACTGACCCAAGTACATTTCTCCGAGACATGCCACTGGTCGATGGGAACCAGGCTGTCAGGTAGTCATTGACCTGTACTCTAAACTTCCGTCCCACAACAAACTCGTGTAACCACTGAAGTAGTATGCCACCGATTCCTTAGGTGCTCAGTTTACGAAGGATTACCTCGTGGTTCACTCTGTCAAACGTCTTACTGAAGTCGATGTACACCACGTCAACATCCTTCCGTTCGTTGAGAACTCGTACCCACTGATGGTTCATGTACATCAAGTTGGTGATGCAGGATCACCCTTTCAGGAAGCCATGTTGCGTTGGCGTCAATACGTCCATCGATTCGAAGAACGACGGCAAACACTTTTTCACAACCTTCTCGTGAACTTTGGATAAGATCGAAGTCAAATAGATCGGTCTATAGTTCTCTATTTTACTCGGATCACCACCCTGGGGAAGTGGTCTCACTATCGAGCATTTCCAGTCGTTGAGGACAGATCCTTCAGAGATTGATTTATGGAATAGGTTTGTCAAGATTGGTTAGATGATAATCGATAGAAACTTGAGTATTAGTGTGTGAAGTCCGTCTGGTCCGGGGGACTTTGCACCATCGAGGTTGACGAGTAGCTGATACACTTCGACTGCATCACAATGTAGGCTGTCAAGCAAGATTGTCGCAACTTGTGACGGTACCGGAACAGCCGCCGGTTTACTGGAAATTACGGTATGGAAGTGAGTAGCCAAGGCATCCGCGCGCTCCGCGATTGAAATGAGCGTCTGTCCGTTCAAGCTATCTAAGACCGGTAGGTCGCCCGCAGGTTTCATTTGACGTTTCAAGTAAGCCAATATCCTTTTGGGTGCAGTTGTAGCCCATGATGCTAGTTCATCCTCGCACTGCCGGCGTTTCTTGATCCTTGCGGCGTTACATTGGTTACACTGTTTCTTGCACACCGTGTAATCTTCATCACAACCCGAGCTGATGTACCTATCGCAAAGTTTGCGTCCCCGTCGCGTTAACTATCTATATTCCGTATCAAACCAATGCGGTTTGACAGGTCCGATTTTTGAATACTTCAGGGGAACGAACCGAGTACACATCAAGTTAAGCTTCCCCTTCATTAATGACCAACAGGCCTCAAGCGACGCAGCCTGTGTTAGTGTCCAATCTGTCTGACTTGCGGCTTGGACGAGCCCGTTGTAGTCCGTCTTCCAATAGTTGCATGTCGGATTCCGTTGCTTGTAATACGGTAACGACAGTTCTAGGCTTGCTACAATAGAGCAGTGGTCACTGTTCGCCAGACATTCAATGACTCTGATCTCGTTCAACTTCCGCTCGCAGCTCGTAAACATTAGGTGCAGACAAGATGCCGAGTGCGGTGTTACGCGCGTCGGTTGGATGAAATGTTGCGTTGCCCCGATTTCAATAGTCATTTTAGCGAATTGTGCCTCAACGTTGCCATGACCGGGAAGAACTCGAATGTCTGGCCAAAATATCTTAGTTAAATTTAAATCCCCCAATCAGTAAGGACTGAGGGCGGATCATGTGCTGCTGTACACGTAGTAGCCAATCGCAACAACGGTTTATTGGGCTACGGTAAATAACACCCACTATTAGTTCTGCGCGCCTGAGGCGGATTCCGCACCACGATTGCTCGGACAAACTATCCTCGCTCCGATAGGTGCTGGTAAGTTTGCCAGATAGTGACGATTTTATGTACAACAAAACACCACCGTGAGGCTTGGATTTTCGGTCACAACGGAAATAACAGTATCCTGACAACACGACTTCTTAGGGTATGACGTCGGAGTTCAGCCAAGTCTCTGCAAGTTCTATAACGTCCGGCCGCTCCGAGACAGCGAAGCGGCATAGTTCGTCAGGTTTGTTCAGTAGGCTGCACACGTTGGCGAATGCCACACGGAGGTCCTGGGAGGTACTGCGGGACGTGCCTGGAGGTTGGGCACCCAGTTGGTACAGGTTCGTACACTCTTGATCACCCAAAATTTTACAATTTGTACGTCAGTCTCACCTTCCTCTGTACGGTGTTTGACCTCAATGACCACAGCCTTCAAACGATCCCTGTCTTCGGGTTCCAACTCTCGGCGGATGTGAACTTCTATGCCTTTTAGTCTTGACAGAGGAGACAGGATAAACTGCGGCATATTGTGACATGCAAAGATGATTCTCAGCAGTCGACATGACTGGTTAGTATTCTGGCCAAGTCGGATTACTTGTTTAATCGTTACACTGTCTTCGCCCACGTTCTAGAGTCTATCGATGAGCCCCTGGAGGAACTCAACACCGTGATCATAACGTATCTGAGGGTTTTCATCTTTTGTCTCTGGTACGTGGAAGATCATGAGATTATGACACCTCAGGGAAACCGGCGGTGAACGTGTGGGAGCAGGACTAGAAGCGCTCATCGGATTGGGTTGTGGTTTAACAGCACGGGACGCCTGAACTCGATTACTTGGCCCCTTGCGCTTTTGAGTGGTTCATGGATCCTCGGTGTAGATGGGAGCCGGACAACATTCCTTCACAGGCAAACAAAAGCACGCTGTATTTGGGAATCAATCTCACACAATGAAGTGGATGGACCGTATTCCTCTCCAAACTGAGTGCATGGAATCACTCTTTGATCCTAATACGACCACAAGGACCGTACATCCCGTCCCCTCCAGCAACGGCCAACTGTCTATTGAAGCCAGTATGGACGAGGTAGTGGGTAATAGACAGGTAGGCACCTTGTCAACATGCACATCAAGCGCAGCCACACCGGGGATATCAAGCAACAGCCATTCACTTGAAATGACATTATCAAATAATGTAAACCTGTTAAAGCATACGGCTATGGCGACATAACTCTTCGCTAACTTAGCATATGAAACAAGTTGGTTATCAGAGAAAAAGCGACAAGTACAAAATATTCTAAAAACACTCAAAAAATGCTACAAACGTAATAATGTTAAGGAAGATAACCATAATTTGCGTTATCAACGAAGCCAGTTAATAGAAGCTTATTCAAGTAGGCAGAACAAACCAAATAAAGTGGAATGAAATTTAGGCAGCTTAAAAAGACAGTTTAAGTGTAAGTTGGTTTAGCCTAACTGCGGTGAAGAAGCATCATGAATGCAACATCAGCCCCAATAGAATCCTGTTTTTAACGACTCGGTTTCTCACTGAGCTGGCTTCTCGTTTGTGGTTGACGGTGAGCGAGGGCATGTCTTTTCGACGACGGGGTCAAGCAGGGTCGATTCTTTTAACCGATTCCACTACATATGCGTTGGGTTCGGTTACTTCAATTCTTCATTTGCTAACTCTGGCATATGTCACAGCATTGAACTCAAGGAGGTAATAAATATCTTGCACCAACCTGTATTAACAACATTGCCACGCCTCACACTTTCCCGCACCGTTGAACTACATATGGTAAACGCTTTGTCTTCTATTCGTATTTTGAGTTTTTAAATCATCGGTCACATGGCAACGCTCAAGCATTTGACACTGGGCGTCACACTGCACAGCCACGCCCTACATCACTGTGTAATTTTAGTCCGCTGGAACTGCTTCACGTTGGAGCGTTAGCTAATCGCTTCATAACCTACCTGTGAGGCTTACATGACCATTTACTGGTACGCTTGTGATAAAATCTCTAAATATGACTGCAGTCAACGCTGGTTATCTGCAAGTACCTTGTTTATGGAACAGTAGGCGAACCTCCGCCTTCACTGGACGAGGAGTGTTGCTCACTTCTCCAAGTTGTTTTCTCTACCCCGTCATCCGCAGGTCATTGAGAGTACTTTTGGACACCGTTGTGAATCGTCTGAAGTTCAGCTACTACTCTAGTGCCTGGCGGCTAAGATCATGTCATTTCTACCTCCGTGGACTGTTGCTTGAAGCACTTCATTCAGCGGTTGCTATTGCGTGTTGAGCTATCGAAGAATTTCGGGGTGCACATCACATAAAGTGTCTCTTACTGCTCATGATCCTGGCTGAACATAAACATTTATTTACACTTTCGATACCACCGTTCGTTTTCCTCCAGAGTTGATCATCTTCAGAGGCTTCCCTTTACATCCCAGCGTCAGGTATTCCAATATGCTCCGAGCTGAGTGATTATTGTGCAGACGTTTCGTTGCCTGACTAGGCAACATCAGCAACATAGGCACTTGGACATTGAAATCGCTTACGAGGCACTGCGAACCAGGCCCCTGAAACCGCACTGATGATGTTGCCTAGTCAGGTAACAAAACGTCTGCACAATAATCACTCAGCTCGGAGAACTGCTCAAAATCCGCATCCACACCCCGAGCTACGGATATTCTCATTTATTTCATTCCAATATGCTTGCAAGTGAAACAAAGTTATCCTGTTTTGCGTAATCCTGTTTTCAGTGTATGCATTTGGTCTGTTTCCGGGTACCTGGAGCAACACGCCCCTCTCTTCGTTGCTCCCGGGTTAAGATATTCAGAGCCCAGAAATCTAACAGTGGTAGCATTTTTCACAGCTTGTTCCGTAATCCAATTTCATGGATTTTACTAACTAGAACAATACGTGCTATTCTTGCTGTTTTTCAAATCTGCCTCCTTCTTTTTCTGATACTTTTTACCGTTTGGGGTATCCTCCTGGACTGCATATATGTTGCATCGTATTAACATACATGGTTGGGGAGTTCCCACATCCATCCGGCCTCTTATAACGATACACATGATGTCAGTATTTTTTACCTAAGTGTCCGTGTCATTGTCAGTAGTCCTCCTCACCAGAATACGATTTGGGATTATATAGTCGACTATCTTGCGAATCGGTGAGATTCCTGCCAACCCCGTATCTTTTTTTCGTTTTTCACAGGTTTAACATGATCTTGTCGTCGAAGTCGTTCCCCCACTTACGAGCAGTGTTTGAGGAATATTCCAGGGTGAGCAAAAACGACATCGAGAAGGCTCTCAAATCCGAGATGAGTGGCGATTTGCTCAAATCAATGCTAGCGATCGGTGGGTGAAACTCGTTTTACTGGTAACGCACCCTTTTTAGTCTGGTTGCGCAGTAAAGCACACCCAATCGGAACACCGTATGCCTTTACCACGCTCTTTTCTTACAGCAAAACCTATATTACGTACCTCCCAATTCAGTGATTTGCTCCACCTGTCGCTCTCCCCATATCTATTAACGGATAGCACTTTTAAAGATGTGTCAAGCAGCCTCGTCTACACAGTTTATTAAAAGGGTCTGGGATTATGGCCGTTACTTGAACCATAGGTTCAGGTGTGTACCCTAGCATTGGGCCCACCATCAGTATTGATGACCTTCAGATAGCCAGTATATATTGCGGTATTCTGTACAAGTGTATTTGGTGCTTACGCACTTCTGATAAAATATACCTTGTGCCTGAACCGTTGAAAATAACTGCACTGTACCAATTACGAAATGGGTTGAAGTGAGTGTGAGGTCTTTCGAGATACGCCTTCATCGCGCCCATATACCTTTCTATCTCGTTCTGTGAGATTATCATAGGCGTTACTGAGTACCTCATGAAGACACTCCAGCCACCTTTTTGCTCTGACTGCTGGGCGCTCTTTGACTTTAGATCTGGTTTCTGTGATTATTCCACTCGCATCTTTCGAAGGTTTGGTGCTGTCAAAAAACAGCTGTGTATCTTGATTTTGACCTAGGTGCTCCATAGGAGCTTGTTTCCACCTGTGCTCTTGTAATTTAACTCATATCCGGTAGGAACACCGCCCGATCAATAGACGTATCCGAGGTCTTGTTTATAGCGTAGTAAGAGCAAGGGAGTCGCCGAGCATCGGCATTTCACGCACAGATCCCGACGGTTGAGTCAGGTGCTAGGCATGCTAATACACCGACTCCAGCGACGTACGTCGTTTGGGTGACCGGATTCCGGAAGGGAAAATAGTAGATTAGGTCAGTCGATGAAAATGGAGAAAATGAAGGCTCCGAATTTGGAGTCCTCGGCGCCTTCTTTTTCCCCGGTCGTGACCCGCAAGACGATGATCACGTTTTGTTGGTAACACTTGGTGAAGAACCGGCCTCAGTGGTGTTTGTGTCATGAGCTTTTGTCCCCTCCCCCCCATGCCGCTTAGCCTCCTTCTCTAACCACGATCTGATTCTCGATACACAACAAAAACAGTGCATAATAATGTTTTATCTTTTTTCCGTTGCCATCTAATTTGAACTGTGTTCTGCAACACGCCTGATGTGTCTCGCCTCTAACTAATGCATGAACTGATGATAACAATGCCGATATGGGCATGTTAATATTAATATACTACAATTGATTTAACGGCGAGAGAGGAAGTCATAATGGCAGTGCCACTAACAACGGCTTGCTTTTTATCTTGGAAATCCAAAGTCAGTATCAATAGCTCTGATACATGAGTTCTATCGACTTAATGGGTGTACGATGTTGAATAGGGTATCTAACTGTTGAGCCTCTTCCTTTTTTCAAGAGGTCAACGCCAACCACTCACTTCTATTTCCCGAATGATGCCAACGACGCTAACATCCATCCGAATCATTAAAAGATTTTCATGTGACCCCTGCGACTAGCATTCATCCAGTCTGTGGAAAATGCTCTGAAGAATCTACGAGGCCTCTAACTCTGACATTGGCGAGATGTCTCATACAGTTGAGGCCGTTCTTTCTTGCAACTACTAACTATACTCAACAAACCTAACTTTTCACCGCTAACGTTGCCTTAGGAGGTCACCGAATCCTCGTGCACGTTGGTTGGGTTTGGGGCTTCCGAAAAAGCAGTTTAAGTATTTTACATTAACTTACTGGTATATCACTTGCGTCGAACAGTCTGCGAACGCAGCACCACCAGCTACGTTAATCTCGAAGACGAATTTCGCTTCATCCCATATATTTTGCTCTTTTCTACCACTCCGCCTCAAGCAGTTTTCAGCTGATCCAACCTTGACTGATGTCGCCATCCACACAACATAGTGTTCGGGGTGGTATAGTGAATGGTTTTGTCGTTCACCTGTTCCTATTATACACTGGGGTCATCCGAATTGAGCTGGACCGTGATAAGATGCGCTCGTGGTGTCACCTGGATCCATGCTTCACGATGCCCTAATTTCTAGACCTTACTCCTGTCTACTCCTCCGGATTCATGAGCACTCCTCAAAAGAACCGACTCATCGACCACGAACGGCGAAAGGAATTTTCTTTTTCACCGTTGGAGCGAGTCGAAAATCTTGATCGTTTTGAAGGGAGCCAACTCTGTCACTTGCACGATCCAACCTGGAATCAATCTAGCGCAGTTCTTGGGTATGCTGCCATCTTTAATGCTCATTCTCCGTCTCAGCTGAAGTTGCCCACTCCCCCACGGCAGTAGAGCGGATTCCCTTTTGCTCACGACGTGTACCAAGTTGGCCACTTTCCTGTGTCACCTCTTGGCACTTGCACACTCTCCCTTGTTCCGCTTTGCCTTCCAATTGCCAGTTTTCCAGCTTTCACATGACGCAAACGAACGCTCTACGCACTCCCTCCCACTCAAATCCTTCCTGACACGTGTAAAAAGGGGCAATCAATTCATCCAGTTGAACCGTACCAGCAAAACTGCGCATGGGTTTCATTGACGGGTGCTCATGTGATTTGATAACTCACAGATCTTGCTAACCACATCGATTTCCTTATTACTAATATCTCAATGATGGTGTATTAGTAGTGACAACAATCCCTTGAAATGGAAAGTTAGGACTAGCCATCCCGGGGCCTTAAGAATCACAAGCCTGCCTTGTAATCCGAGGGCGCGGGTTCGAGCCCGCGTAGGGGCAGGGCGACCCTCGCAGTATCCTTAGTCCACGTGCAATTGGTGGTGCTTCCGCGACAGCGAAGTGTCATTACTGCGTACCGACGTATTGGTGATGCCTTTGGACTAGCCGTCGGTCGAGCAGTATGATTCGGCTCCTGCTTCCCACTGGTTTACTGTGGTGATCGGTAGATCACAAATATACGTCTCCCGCTTGGTGATCAGGTATCAGATGCTGTCCTCACGAGTAAGGGCGTTCGGGTTGTCTGCTTTTCAGAGTCAGTTAAACCTCTTCTCCTCTTCACTACAAGGGTCTGCTGAGGCATCCCATTAACCAAGGAGTAGTATTCATCTCTGATGACACATAGATGTACCTTCTTTAGTTGGATACACGTTATAGGAAAATCCCCAGATGACACCGACCATCTCCACCCCGGTTCCAAACAGTTCCGTTTTCTCGACCCCTCATACGATGTCCATATAGAAACATTGACACTCGGTCAGAAGCCGATGAGTTTCGATCTGGTTACTAAATATGGACAACTGAAAGCGTGCGTTTCGTTTCCTTTGCAGTCCAACTACAAAGCACAAAATTATTGTCAATTATGCTAATCATAGTAGGTCTCTCACTGTGCTATACTTGCTATACTTGGATTTATGTATCAAATAGATCCAAGTGAGCGACCATATTTTACCTTTCTCACGCCTCACGTCAACGATTACTGCACCCCAGTGTCTTTTTGAACGTTTACGCTTGATTTTTTTAAATGTTACATTGATGTAATTTATCAAAATATTCATCTAAGCAGACGTTTGGTAGATGACCCAGATATATTTTGATTTCATCATATTCACCCCAACCATCTTACGGGACGTGTCAAGCACTTGCTTTTATCCCGTGATAAATCATTGTTCATTGTTCATATCTGATTCTCATCTCAATACTGTCCTTTTCTTTATTTCATTTCTGAGATCTGTCCTCCCAGAGATTGATGATGTACAGAGGGGCTGGACCTACATCTGGGTTCTGTCAATCTCACAGCGTTCAAAGTTTGACTTCAACAGCTTGGCGAGAAGATGCTGGAGAGTGCAATGGATGAATCAGAAAAAACTGCACTGAATTAGGGATAAGCACGGAGCGTCGAGCTCGCCAAAAGAAACGAATGGATGGTGAAGTATCGCAAATTGATGCGATGTATCATAGCTGTTACCAGTTTCATGATGTTGCAAACGAATCTACTTTCCTTACATCCCCAAATATGCTTAATGCTAAATACTTTTGTCCGCATAGCGGACTTCGTTCGTGAAGACAAGTTATCAGACCAACAGTGCCCGCGAAACGATTCTGTTCGAAACACAAGCTTCTTTACAAACAATTGCATCGCGGAATCTCACCATTCATTACTATTGGTGGGTATGCACACACAGCAAAGTGGCGACCAACTCCTTAAGGGCCCAGTACTTACCTACTTTCCAAGGGGCACAAGCCTCAAACACTATACTTGTTTCTGTCACCACACCATCGGTGTTATCCAGCATCTCAAACACAGCATATATGGTGCTAAAAAGCTACTATCCTTACGTACACACAGCTCTCCTGGGGTGGATAACCTTCACCTTAAAGCACTGCAGATAGGAGCCAATCACCTAACCCAACCACTTGCCGCCTTCCTTCAGGGTTATCTAGATGAAAACATAGCTCCGCCAACGTGGAAACGAGGTATTATAACCCCCATTCATAAAGGAAGCACTCGATCTGATCATGCCAATTAGCGTCCCGTAACGCTTCTTCCTGTTCACGCCAAAGTCATGGATGCGATCATTGCGGACTTACTGGTGGGCTATCTGTAAATCTACGACATCATTGCGTCGGAGCAGCAAGAGTTTCGTCAACGTCTATCATGTACCACGGATCTGCCGATAGTACGTGACGACTGGGCAGTAACAGTCGATGAGTGGACAAGGACCGATGTTATTTACATAGACTTTTCGAAAGCCTTCGATTGCTTGGATCATCGAATCCTCCGACGCATTCTGTAACTCTACGGCATCGGAGATCTAGTATTAGGATGGATTGGTAACTTTTTCCGTCTGAATCGATTCGAATGGAGTGCGGCGTATCTCAGGGTTCGGTACTTGGGCCTCGCTTGTTCTTACTTTTCATCGACGATCTAACGAGAGCTACCAACACAAAATGTTAACTTTTCGCTCACGATG